AGTGCTCAGGAATTGACACCACAATAAATGTCCCAGCCTTACAGACAGGATTTTGAAGCAACAGAAAATTAAAGAGCTCAATAAATCATGTGTCCCTAAATGTCAAAAAGATGTCTACAACCACCAACAAGTATTTAAATATTCAGTGGGCCTGTAATGAATGTTCCTTCCCCTGTCTCTGCCCCTCACTCTTCTCCTTCTCATCCCCACAGCAGCAGGAGGGCAATGCCTGAGGAATCCTGGATCTTCTTCACCCATTTACAGTTCTGTTTTTCTTGTCACTGAAGTATGAATCATTTCTTTTCTATTTCCTCATGTTCATGTTAACAACAGTCCACAATGACACAAAGCAATCCACGCAGAAATTAACATTATTCCCAGAGCAGATCACAGAGGAATGAGATCCCTCACTTGAGAATGGAGTGACCTTCAGAAAATCTGGCCAGTCAGATGTTCCACGCCTAAACTGTGAATTTCAGCTTCCCATTGGATTTTTAAGCAATCTTCACAGAATTGGCACAAAAAAAAAAGCACATTTAGAGAACAATTTTTTCACTTGTATTGCCCTAAATTTCCAGGTAACAACAACTGGTAGAAAATATCTTCAAAAACAAATTTCCAGGCTCATGATGCAATTAAGATGGTTTTTTCCCCCTCTTGGATAAGATCATCTTCAGCAAGGTTCTGTGGACTAGGACCAAGATTTGAACTAAATTAGCTGAAACTGCTACTTTTGAGCTTTAAATGGAGTTTGTCCTCAAAGCTGCTTCAAGTTTTGGATTTTGTGGCCAATTTCCACAGTTCTACAATTGCAAGACAGGAATGAAACAGAATGGGGAATGGAGATTTGAAGGTAATGCCAGGTATTTTCACATGTCTGTGAAAGACTTTTCAACAGAGACACTTTTTTCTTTTCCCCTCCTATCTTTTACTCAACATGTGCTCTTCAGATTAGGGTAAAAATAGGGAAGTAGGTTAAAGAAAAAAATTACAATAGCAGTTAATATAGCTTAAAATTAGCAAATTTTTTGAAAAATAGAAAAAAACCCAACAAATTAAAGAAAACCAGTATTTCTGACAGAAATGACAATTCAAGACTATTAGAGATATTGGCCTATGAAGGATTATTTGTAACTTTAATTTGAGGATGTAAAGAAGTTAACTTTTCTTTTGCTATACTACACATGTAAAAAAAGATCAAAGAAAGAAAAGAATTGAGATTCAAATTCCATTTTTAAGCAAAAATGACAATGTCTTCCTGAGTTAAAATTAATCCTTTAATGATGAATTTCAAAGGTTTAAATACTTTCTGTGACCTTGGCTTTAAATAATTATGCCAAGCAGAGCTTTCCTTACATTCAGAACAGATTCTGAATTGTTGATCACAGCCATTTTAATGGCTTCAGGCTGGCTGATTTCCAACATAATCCTCCGAATGCTCTTTAAAATTACAGACCAAGAACCTGACGCAGGTAAATGAAATGTCACTTGCACAAAGGCTGCTCAAACACCCCATGCAGATTGTTAATTTGTGCCACTGCACATCCCCTTGCAAGAAAATGTGTGATTTACTGCCTTAATGCAACGTACAAAAGAGACTTCTGCTTACACATACACAGAGTCTACCATAAATATTAAGTAGGGTTTTTTTAGTTTGGCTTTTGAAATAAAACTTGCATGTTTTAGCTCCCTAATGGGGGGGAATACTTGAATTCAAGACAGAGGTTCAAGGGATGTTCAGCAAGCAGGAATGTGGGCAGTGATCCCACAAAACAGAATGGAGGGAAGCCTTGATCAATCTGAAACATTAATTTCCATTTTCAAATCTTACTCAGAGGCCTTTCTCACCTGATGTACACCACAGGCAAAATCAGATCAGCCACTGTGACAACCAAACACAATTTCCTTGCACCCTGAGCCTGAGTATTTCCCTCCATAAGAGCTCACCCGCTTTTTAAGGGATAAAATGCTTGGCCAGGCAGAACCATCCTTTCCAGAGTCTCCATTCCAGCAGAAGAAGATCACCCTGCTCCTGGCTGGCTTTACCTCTGAAATCACCTGTGTTGGATCCTCAGGGCACCTTCCATCCCTGCTGGAGGTGCTGCCCAGCCCAGCATGCTCAGAGCAAAACTTTCCATCAAAGAACCCCAAAACACCCCACGCTCCTGCTGCGACTCTGCCATCCCATGGTCTGCATCTGTTTCTTCAACTCAAGTGATCCCCAGGTGATTTTTCCTCAGGGAAACTCTGCTCAGCTGACTTTGGGGTGATCCCTCCCCTGGTGCCCCGTGGAGCTGCTCTTTGTGCATCCCTTACCTTCCTCAAAGCCGCCTCTGTCTCCGCCGTGTGCCTCCTCTTCAGCTCTGCTATCACTTTCTCCATCTCCATCTTCACGCTGTTCAGTGCTTCCTCCTTCTCTCGAGTTGCCCTCAGCTTCTCCTCGTCCCTCTGCAGGCTCAGGTCCAGCAGCTGATGGTTCCTCAGGTTGTTGGCCTGGATCAGCTCCTCCCTCAGCTTGCGGATTTGGCTCTCCAAGCCAGAGATCACCTGAGAGAAAGAGCAAACAGAGTGACAAACCCCAAACCCACAGCACCAAACCCACTTGGTTGGTGATAGGAATGCCCAACGGGTGGGAAGAATGATGGCAGAACTCCATGATATCAGAAGCCTAATTAATTACTTTATTATACTATAGCTATATTGTCAGAACCCAGGAATGATGGCAAAACTCCATGACATCAGAAGGCTAATTAATTACTTTCTTATACTATATTATACTAAACTATATTGGTGGAACCCAGGAAATTCCTCTGGCTGCCCTGGAGGACTCTGCCCCAGGGGGCTCAGAGACCCTGGCACAAAGCCCAAGAGCCCTGAGCCTTTGATCTTGACCCATGGAAAAAATTACCAACCGTATATGAGGATTTACAAGCCACAAAAATTTAAGCAGAATGATAGTGAATTCATCAGAGGGTGAAAAATAGATTTTTGAGGTTTTTAGAATGGGGGCTCAGGGTCCCAAGATGGAGGAATTTGGGTGTGCCTTGTCCTTTTCCCTTCTTCTTCTTGGCCTCCATGTTCTGGGTGATGTTGGCACTTTTGGATTGGTTTAGAGTAGAAGCTCACTGTCTAACATAGGTGATAGGTATTGGAAAGTTATTGTAAATAGTGTACACGTGGTTTTAGTATAAAAAGATAACACCAGTGTGCCTCAACCCAACCTGCCAGACGAACCTCAGCGGGTCAGAGAAAGAATTTTATAGATAAGAAACAATAAACAACCTTGAGAACAAGAATAGAAAAGTTCTGGCTCCTTCTTCTACTGCTGGGCTGGGAAAAGAGACTTTTTCTAATGCATCTCTGACCGGCAGGGATTCCAAGATTATGTTACAAAGAATATTAAAGAATAGTATAAGATTCTAAAGAAACTCCTGATTGTCTCCCGACAGTTGTCTCAGCTTTGACTGACTGGCCAAGGAAACATGAAAGCCATGATTCTATCATCTTTTTCTTCATGTTTGGCTCTGTTGATTGAAGACTCTTCCAAATGGCTCCCCTGAGGGATGATGCAATTCCTGTCACCATGTTCCTGGTCCACCACCATCCTGCCTTTTCTTTGGAGGAATGAGAAGGAGCAGTGCAAAAACTACAGAGGAAACTGCTTTTAAAAGGATTTGTGGAAAGGTACTATCAAGACATTAAATAATCTGCATTCTTTGTGCTAATATACATTAAAAATATTTCTTCTTTGTGAAATACATTTCTTCTTGATCTTTTGGCATCATGTTTTGCTTTTACTTGATCTTTTGGCACCACATTTCTGGTTTTGCTAGATTTTCTCCAACAAAGCCAAATGTACTACACTCATTTTTATTAATATTAGTTGGTGAATCACTATCCCTGTGTAAGAAACATTCAAGAACCAAATGTAATTTAATGTACACAGGCTCTACAAAACAAAACCAATAAAAATATTACTTCTCTGGAACAGAGAGATAACATCAAATTCAATTACTAAATTGAATCCAATTACCAAAATTCCTTCAGGTAAATGATCCTCCAACACATTCCACATGTGCACAAACACAGGAGCAGCACATGAGATAAGAATTGTTTTGATCATTTTTTTCTCTGCTTCTCTCAGAGCTTCTCTGTTCAGAGGGCATGTGAATAGCACAGGTGTCCTCCAACACCTGGGCTAGGGGCAGGCCCACAGGATGCTCTGTCCCTTTTCCTGGCCCCTCTTCTTGCTCTTCCCTTTCTCTTCCTGCACACAGATAAATACAGCTCCTCCTGCCCACAGCACCGGTGAGATGGACCCTTTTGGAAGAGAAATTGAGTTTGTGGCATATAATCTACACATCCTACCCATGCCTTCTTTTTTATCCTTAAGAAATGACCTGCATCCTTCTAATGAGCTATCAGAGCATCATCAATCATTTATCAATCACAGCCTGCCCCCGATGGGAACACAAGGGGGAGGGATGGAAGTGACAGGAATAAAGCTGTGACACTCCTTGTTGAGTTTCATTGGTTTTTTCTTCAAAGGTCAGGATCAGGATTAAATGTGCAAGATGGCATTGCTTGTTTGGATTTAGATGGTTATTAGTTTTTATTTATATTATAGTCTCACAAGGTGTGAGTTTTAAAGTACTGTAACAAGTTAAAAATGGAGAAATATTTCTCTTTCTATAAGGCTTTTAAAGGATAAACTGTCTAATTAAGAAATGACACTGGTTTTTATTTTTAATCTAATAACTAACTACTTGTGCTCTGCAATGTGGACTTTTTAATCTAATTGCCCAGAACTACTTGAACTTATGGAGAAGAAGGTGAAGAAGAAGGTAAAGGAGGATTGCCTTCTGTCCTAAAGTTTTTATCTCACTTTATATATAATACTATATTCTAAACCCTTAAACTCTAAGTTTTCTACTATGTGATATTATACACTTTTATTTAAATTACACACCTCTAATCTTGGTTCTATAATTTCATTTTGGAAGCCTTCTCTATGGCTTCATGTCAAATGCAGTGTTCTCTTGGGGGTCAGTGCCTGGCAGCACAGAAAGTCTCAAATTCTCAGTATCCAGGGTTCCAACAACTCCTAATTCCACAGAATTCCCTCTGCTACTTTACCTCAGGAGTAGATGCACACCTATGACTTCAGATTACATTTACAAACTCTCACAAGTTACTTTTCTAACTCCATTCCCTCTGTGGGTTCTTCACTGGGGTACAGGAGCATCACACCTGGGACAGAAAGCACTGAGCTTACAGCTAAGTGTGATGGATGGCACTGAAAGCACATCTATGTCTTCATTCACAAATGTAATTCTGAAAATGAGCACTTGCACTGCAAAACTCCCACAGAATTTCCCCCTTTCTCCTCCTTGTTTCACAAGAAACTTTGCCTGGCATTCTTTCACAGAGGATGCAACAATACTGAGAGCAGAAATTGATGTTCTACCAAGTGAGTGCAGGTGACTCAGCTCAAGCTTATTAAAGATTTCACAGGAAAATCTGAGGAAAAGCAGTGTATATTTAAAGTTCCCATTGTCCTGGAATGCCAGTTTCTCTCCAACTACTATTTTTCTTCTTCAGACATTTTTAATACACTGCCTGTACTCAGCCACACCATTTATTTGCAGCCTCTGAGAACCACATTAGTACAAAACTTTGAAAAGGAAACATTTGTTTCTGACCAAAGTTGGGACATGAATGACTATCAGATCTATTGCCTTGTACATTAATCTCTCAAGACAGATTCCTATAAATACTGTGATCTAAGAGAGAAAAAAAAATCAAGGCTTGAAAGTTTGCCTATTTCTCAAGCTATTTGAACTATATGGTGTAATAAAAGACATCATCTCCCTTCAAACCTTCAGTTTGTCCTTCAGCTATCCCAGCTGTAACATGTATTAAATAATATCAACCATCTCAGAAACTTATTTGGTTTCCATGCTTTCTTAATTACTCACTGGCATTAGTCCCTACTATGTCAAAGGTAAGAGTGTGTGTATGGTGGAGAAGGAATGAGCACGTCATTTGTATACAGAACTCCACCACAGGCCACATATTTCAGCCCTATCAGCATTATCTCAAACATATGGTTCATATACTGTAATCTGTGCTAGATCCTTTCCTTCCTTTCCTGAGCTTTTCCTCTACACATGTTTAATTTCTTATTAAATCTGTATACAGACTAAAAACGTAAAGTAACTTTCAGTGTATAATTATAATCCGCAATGTACTTTTATAATTCTTTCGGAAAATGATTTCATCTCCAGATCACAAGAACATGACAGCCTGCCTGGCTTTTCCTTAACCAAAGCAGCACTAACTCAATGAAGATAAGAGCTGCAATTGCTGATGGGTGATTTGATCTGAGTTCCAAACTGACACAATGAGAATTTGGGGTTTTTAACAGCTGTCCCAGTGCAAGTCCTGCCTGAAATAGCCACAATTATCTTTTCATCTGTGAGAGTTCTTTTTGAAAGCTCACTCCCCTGCTCTCCTTTTTTTCCCCTGCTATTTTAAAATAAAAAACTTCCTTTAATTACACCTCCAACGCACACACATAAGTGAAACTAAAAAATTACACTGCTCAGAAGTTCCCTAAAAAGTTTGTTAAAATATTTAGGATAAGAAATCAGGGCTAACTTTTTATAAAACAAGGAAAATTCATTCACAAATGACACTACAAGCCAAAATAAAGACTGGGTGAATTCCTGTTACACCTTTTAAGCTTTACTTCCTTCTTTATTCAATGGTTCTCATACAAAGTCATTAGAAAATGAAACACAACCCAGTGTTTTCTGTAAGAAGTAACAGCTCTCAGCCTTCAGAGCCAAAAGTGGGGACAGCTGAGAGTGAGCTGAATGTTATAGGTAAAGCAATGGTAATTAATATGCAAAGGAGCATTAATGTTGGACCTAATAGATGGCAAAAGCAGATTTGGTTCTATTAGGGAAGAAGAAAGGCTCTGAAGACGGGGTGATGGCAGCGAAACTAATATGATTAAAGGAGTCCCTTTGGAGCAACTTCACTGCCAGTAAGATGATGTTAAGAGACATCTAATCTCTCCAAAGTGACTGGAAAAAGCTTATATTGGGGATCACAGACACAGTTCTTGTCAATTACTTTCAAATAAGTCCAGTTCTCACAGCCAGATTAGTTTTTCCCATAAACAAAGTCAGTGGCAGAAGCAGCTTACGCCCAACTCAGCGCTGAGACAACTTGGTGTGACACGGATCTGTCCCCACTGCTGCAGGAAATGAATCCCAAACTTTCCAGCACTAAGGCTCTGCTATTCCACATGCCAGGTTTAATAAACTATTATTAGACTTAAATGCAGGCAAATTAGGGAAAAAAAAAAAAGCCCCAAGATGACTTAATTCTCAGTTGCGAAAAATCCGTGAAATATAAAACTTATGAGCAACTGTCTTTTCTAAACCATTCTGTGGGAAAATAAAAGCTGCAGTTACAAAATCTCACTTCTCAGGCTCCAGATCCAAAGGCAGGATGGTTTCTTTGTAACATTGAGTCCT